GTAGTTCAACCAATCGTCAACCATGCCTCTCTAGGGGGCAGCCTCGGTTAATCTCTCTGTGTACGAATCACGAACTCGGGGCATGCCCGGGCCTTCGAGCTTTGCTAAAGGGGCACGTGTAAATTGGAAGTACTGTTTTAAATGCCATAACATTCTTTCATTTCTCTTCTCCCTTTAAATATTCACTCTAGGCCTCATCCATCAACCCTTAACAAACAAAATGTATCTACAACAAAGATGTTACTCAATAATAGCATGGAAAGGATAACAAAGGAACAATCAGGAATTCAAACATGAATAGGGTTTGATAAAATAAAGACATCCCGTACCTCATGAGTGCTGCAAAAAAAAAATGAATGAAGGCCCGACAGGAAACCCACTAAGGGGGCTGCGCAAAAGTTAGGGCAAGATCTACTAGGCAACCCACAATCCAAAAAGGGAAACCTAGGCAAAAGTAAGGATCCAAAGAAAGTGTCCGCTAGGGAACACATCTCAAGTAACCTAGGCAAAAGCTAGGACATCAAAGCAGCGATCTGAGTTGAAAATCGAAAGGCGGCTCAGGGAATCATCTAAACAAAGCACAACCCCAGGTCATCACTCCACTTTCCAAAAAGGCTAAAACACAATGATAACTTCCTTGTAGCGAATACATTTTGTTTGATAACCCTAAACACCAAAGCCTACCTTGGCTAGCCATTCTTCTAAAAACCCCTTTTGAAAAAAAAATCCTTTCTAACAACCTTTTGAGAAAATACAAAAATCCCTTTTCTTTCTTTTCTCTTGACCCTTATGGCATTAAAATGGTATTGAAAATATACACGGAGAATGCACAGTGAATACTCACAGAGGAAAGATCGAGATGTCCCCAAATAGAGCTGGGAGACGCTTGACTACACATCGACCGGATAATCATTGAGCCACTGAAGCTTGGGCTCAAAAGAACACATCCCGACAGTAATCAAGATTGGCATGGATAGAAAAATCGTCAACATTAACCTTAATGCGTACAGGTTAATTTCTCGACATAAAAAAAAATGAATTGCATCTTTAGGAACAAACACATGAGCATAAACTGCATCGCATGCATATGAGTTAGGGGCATATGGAAGGGCGTTACACAAAAAAAAATGGAATAAATAAAAGAATCATTCCTGTCTTGCATTTTCATTGCATCCATGCATCCATGCATTCTACTTGTTATGGGTCAGAAGGAGCCATCAGGACAAAACACTCGTCAAAGCAAAATAGCCGAGCATGAGCCAAGCAGTGGCAAACGACAACATGAAGTGATTCTATGTGCCCACTAAGCAAAGACATATCAATAGTGGAATAGAATCAACCAAATAAGCAGACTCATAAGCATGAAGAGGCTATCGCGCCCCACTCCTTAATTGAATGAAGAATGATCACCTTGCTTGCCGCATTTGAATTTATTTCTTTAATTACGTACGCATTTTTCGAGTATATTTGATCAACTATAAATGGGCCTTCCCAATTATGGGACCATTTGCCTAGGTGTCGGGACTTTTGATCTATGGGAAGAATTGTCTTTAACACTAAGTCCCCTACTCAGAAACTTCGAGTTTTAATTCTTTTGTTGTATGTTCTCTCGACTCTTTCTTTTTGCTGGATGAGATTTTGTAATGCCATCATCCTCTCTTCCTCTAAAGATACCACCTCATCATACATTAGATTCCAATAATCTTCGATAGGAAAATCATTTTGTCTTTGTATGTGAATTGATTGTAAATTAATATCTATAGGGAGAACGGCTTCATGCCCACACACCAATTTGTATGGTGTAGTTATTGTAGCATCTCTTGGTGAATTTCTATAAGCCCACAACACCTGGACGAGCGTTTCATGCCAATTTCAAGGCTTTCTTGAAATGTGTTTCTTGATTAAACTGATGATCACCTAATGGAGGAAGCCCATGGGCTAAGGGCCCAACTACTAGGGCTATGGCAAGGAGGATGCATGAAGAGTGGGCCCAAGCCCATGGAAAGCCCACCACTTTGTTTTGTTGGGCTTTGACTCAAGCCCAAGTAGATTAGGGTTAGTATAGAGTTGGGCCTTGGTGTCTTGTATTTCTTTTGGGCCTTGTATTTTCGGCCATATAG